CAAAGATTCCAGCTTCAGCTTTTCTGTCGAGCTTGTCTCTTTTAATCTGAGGCACATAAGTGAAACACAAGCTGCCAAACACTCTTAAATTTTTTAAAGAGGGTTTGTAACCATACCAAGCCTCAAAAGGTGTCTTCCCATCAATTGCCTTTATAGGAAGTCGGTTCAGCAGAAACACAGAAGTGTTAGCAGCCTCTGCCCAGTATTCTTTTGGCAACTCCTTTTCATAAAGCAAGCACCTGGCCATCTCCATCACTGTATGATTTTTACGTTCACTGACTCCATTTTGCTAAGGAGTTTATAGAGCAGTGAGTTGATATTCAATTCCAGCCTCTTCACAAAACTCACTGAAAGTTGTAGACGTGTACTCCTTCCCATTATCAGACCTCAACGTTTGAATTTTGCCGCCACTTTGTGTTTTAATCCTGTTCTTGAATTTCCAGAACACACTAGCCACTTCTTATTTGAATCGGAGAAAATATATCTAGCACATTCTGCTATAATCATGAATGAAAAGCATATAATACTTACTCCCATTAAGTGAAGGAGTTCTATGAGGACCAGCCACATCAGTATGAATCAACTGAAGCTTTTCTGATGCTCTCCAGGTAGCTTGAAAGGAAGCCTTGATTGCTTTCCATATTGGCAAGCCTTGCATTCTGGCAGTTCAACTTCAAGATTAGGCAAACCTCGAACAAGTTCATTCTTTTGCATATTCACCACTACTCTATGATGAAAATGACCCAGCCTTTTATACCACACTTCTGCATTCATTGTTGTTGCTGAGTAGACTGATTGCTTTGCCTGTAGAAAATCTAGTGCAAAACTCCTCTTTCAGGCTCACTTTGAACATATCTTCATCTTTTGAGTTTTTGATTAAGCAATGATTGCTCTCAAAAAACACTTTAAAACCATTTTCAAGAAGCTGACCAACACTCATCAAATTTTGAGTAATGTTAGGTACAAATAACACTTCTTGAATAAACTTTGTACCTGTTACTTTGTACCTGTTGAAGTATCTACTGCAACTGTGCCTATCCCTTTCGCTACGATATATTCTCCATTACCAATCTTTACTTTGGAAATGAATGACGTATCCAGCTCCTTGAATACATCCCTGTCAAAGGTCATGTGGTTGGTGCAAGCACTGTCAATGAGCCATTTATCATTTGAATGACTTGTTGCAAGACAAGTAGCTACAAATAGTTGCTCCTCTTCATAATCAGCTACTTGAGCAACATTTTTCTACTGTAGATCACATTTCACATCATGTCTCCTCCAACATTTCGATGGTGGATGACCCTTTTTGTTGCAGTGCTTATAAGGAGGAAAGTCAGACTTTGATGAACCTGAACCTTCCTTCTTGTTTCCTTTGTACTTCCCTTTCCCTCTTTGATTTGTTTGCACCTTTGCAGCCAATGCTCCTTCAACAGAACCTTCACTTTTAATAAGCCTTCTCTGTTCTTGAGCCTGCAAAGCATGTATATATCAATTCTGCCAAGCCGACAGATCCTTAGTATTTTCCAAAGAAGAGGTGGTAGCTTCAAATCTTTCCGGGACAGTAACAAGAATTTTTTGAACTATTCTTGTATCAGCAAATTCAGAACCAAATAATCGTACCTTGTTTACGATATTGAAAAATCTATCTGAATACTCTTTAATAGTTTCAGATTCCTTCATTTTTTGCATCTGAAATTCTCTAACCAAATTCAGCATTTGCATTCCTTTGATCTTCTCATTTCCCTCGTACTCCTTCTTGAGATAGTTCCATATATCAAAGGCTATTTTCAAGGTCATGATTCTAGTGAAAATTGAAGATGAAACTGCAGTAAACAAACAGCTTTTGGCCTTGGACTTCCTTGCCTTCCTTTCATTGAAATTCTTCATTTGAGCCACTGTAGGATTGTCGGGTAGTGGAAGCACTTGGTAGTCTTCCTCAATAGCCTCCCAAAGAACACAGGAGGTGCAATGGCATTGAAAGGAGTTTCTGCACTCGAAGCCTTCATTTTGGTGAATATACACTCAAATTCCTCACAAGTCCCTTAAGAAGAGGGCTATGATACCAGTTTGTTGGAGCACACTAAGAAATAACAAAGAAAAAAAAAGAATATTGCAGTGTACTATTTTTTTATTAACTGCAAATGTGCTTAAATACAACAAAAAAAGGATAACTTAAATTCATGTATTTCAGCTCAACCATGGAACATGCCTCCATGTTTAACAACTCAGCTAGAAAAATGGAAATAATGACTGAAAAATGACTGAAATGCAGTAGAACAAGTCAAAACATAATAGAAAAAGAAAAAATGCAGCAACTAAATTGGAAGTGCAGCAGCTAAGTCAACTTCTTAACATAATCACTTCACGGCTAATACATTTAAAATATAAAAGATTAAGATTAGACAGCTCAATTTTCTTTATCCCAATACAATTTGTAAGAGAAAATCTCTTTAGCAGAAGTAATGAACCAAGGGATAGCTTTACAGGAAGCATACATCTTTCGAACATTAAATGATTGAGGTTAACCATATAAGAAACATGCTCTGAAGGTCATATTTGGCTAAAGGTGAATAAGCCAATGTAAGGGTCTCTAAGAAACTGAATTGGGTGGTGAAACTTCTTTCCAGGCGACAAGTAACCAAATGCAGAAGCTTTAAATTAGCTTTTGCACCCTCAAGAAGACTTTGTAGAACATAGTTTCTTTCTGTTTGCTCTCCAAGCATGTCACTAGTAGGATAAAAACAGGATGCTTTGTAGTACAATTCAAGAGACAGAGTTTGAACACCCATTCTGATCGCAAAACTAACCCATCTATCAATATTAGATGTGAAACCCTGCCCAATACAAAAAGAGACCTTAAAAGAGTGTAGGAATATATCCTTATAAAAGTCAAGGCACTAAGTAACTCATCTTACAAATGTTTCCTCATACATTCTGCAGGGATGTTCTATTGGAGGGTTTTTGAGCCAATGCAAACATGTTAAACCAATCAAATACTAGAATGGATGGGAATGCAGAGACATGCCTCCATCTATGTGATAAATAGACTGGTTCCAACAGATTCCTTCAATGTCAATTTGGACAAGATAAAAGAAAGAACTTCATCTGGGAGCTTACTAATGAAATCTCCTCTTGTTGTGTCATTGATATCCTACACCAATATTAAAGGAAAACAAGTTCAAAGAAAGTAATTGCAAACCTCCCCCATATAATAATCAGTTGAAAAGTGTGAAGAAGAAGAAGAATGAGAGGAAAATTTAACTCTATTATTCCCTCAAGGATTGGGGATATAAATAGTACTACATATGTACAATTAATGACAGCTAATTACAGCTAACAATAGCTAATCATAACACAGCTACAATAGCTAATCATAACACAGCTACAACAGCTAATCATAACACAGCTACAGCAGCTAATCATAACACAGCTAAGACACAGCTAAGTACAACTAATGACAGCTAACAACAGCTAATCATAACAATCATAACACTCCCCCTCAAGCTGGAGCATACATGTTGTATGTTCCTAGCTTGTCACAAATGTATTCAATTCGAGGTCCTCGTAAAGATTTGGTCAATATATCTGCCAATTGATCGTTCGAACTGACAAAGGAAGTAGATATGCATCCTGACTCGATCTTTTGTCTGATGAAATGACAATCGATCTCAATATGTTTCGTTCTTTCATGAAATATTGGATTTGAGGCAATATGGAGTGCTGCTTGATTGTCACATATCAGTGTAATCTGTTTTATTTCTCCACACTTTAATTCTTGAAGAAGTTGCTTGAGCCAAACAAGTTCACAAGTGGCTAATGCCATGACTCGATACTCTGCTTCTGCGCTTGACCTAGCCACAACATCCTGCTTTTTACTTTTCCATGATATCAAATTTCCTCTAATCATGATAAAATAACCAGAAGTGGACCGTCTGTCAGAGAGGGAAGGAACCTTGCCCAATCTGCATCTGATAGCCACCACTGTGTGAAATGACCTTGTTCTATATAAACAGACTTGCCAGGAGTTTCTTTGATTTATGATTCAGAATGCGAACAACAGCATCTAATGACTATACATGGAGACCTGAAGAAATTGACTAACACACACTCACAGCAAAAGAAATATCCAGTCGTGTATAGTAAGATCATTTAATTTTCAACAAGCCTCCGATTTATCTGCCAGGATCTTTAAATGGCTTCCCATTGTCTGGAATAAGTTGGAATAAGTTTTACATTGGGATCCATAGGGGTATCCATAGGTTTGCAATTCATCATACCTGTTTCTTCTAGTATATCAAGAGCATACTTTCTTTGTGAGATTGCAACTCCAATCTTGGACTGTGCTACCTCAATCCTAAGAAAACATTTTAGCTTTCCCAAATCTTTAGTTTGAAAGTTGTTGAATAAATGCTGCTTTAGTTGAGAAATCCCTTCATGATCATTGCCAGTTATGACAATATCATCAACATAAACAACTAGATAAGTACATTTCCCATGATTTTCATGTCGATAGAAGACTGAATGATCAACGTCACTTCGACGCATGCCAAATTTCTGGACAACAGCACTAAATCTTCCAAACCATGCACGTGGAGATTGTTTCAAGCCATAGAGAGATCGACATAGTCGACATACCAAACCAGACTCCCCCTGAGCAACAAAACCATGAGGTTGCTCCATATATACTTCCTCGGTCAATTCCCCATGTAAGAAAGCATTTTTGATGTCAAGTTGATGAAGGGGCCATTGATAGATAGCTGCCAAAGAAAGAAGAAGACGAACAGAGGCTATTTTGGCCATAGGGGAAAAAGTATCACTATAATCAAGGCCATAAACTTGTGTGTACCCCTTTGCCACAAGCTTAGCTTTTAACCTATCAATTTTACCATATGGTCCAATTTTAATCGTGTAAACCCATCGACAGCCAACAGTGCTCTTCCCAGGAGGCAAAGAAACAAGTTCCCATGTACCATTATTATGCAAAGCAGTCATCTCCTCAGTCATAGCAGAGCAGACCAACCAGGATGGTTAAGTGCTTCACTGACACTCTTAGGGATAGAAACAGTAAACAATGCGGAGATAAAGGCATAATATGAAGGAGATAAACGGTGATAGCTCAAAAAATTGTAAATAGGATGAGAATTACAAGTGGAGCGAATACCTTTGCGAAGGGCAATGGGAGCATTATCTGCCTCTGTGTTTGGCATGACCGGTGCAGGAGATGAAATCAGAATAGGAGATGAGTCACTAGGCTGTATATCTGCATTCAAAACAAGGTTAGTAGTAGGACGACGAGAATAGACCTAAAGAGGACGAGATGTAGCTGGAGGAGGAAGAATAGTAAAGGGGAGAACATTGGAAACAGATTGTTACAGATTGTTCAAGCCTCCGGCTGTTTTAGAAAAATAAGGGTAGCTTTCAAAGAAAGTAACATCAGCAGAGATAAAGAACTTGGAAGAGATTGGGGGCATAAACACTTTGTACCCTTTTGAAAACGAGATAATCCTAAGAAATGACTTAATGAGACTTTGGTTGAAGCTTGTTCCTGCAGGGGTATGATCGTGAACAAACAAGTCCTGCGCCAAAACACGAAGTGGCAGATGAAAAGGGGTCTGTTTGGGAAACAGAAAACAGAATAGGGTTTTGCTCTGTAAAACAGAAGAAGGCTCCTGTTAATAAGAAACAAGCCAGTAGTATAGCATCTCCCTCGAAATGAAGTGGGAACTTGATTATGAGAAGTAATGTTCGTTGCTGTTTCAATCAGATGACGATTCTTTTCTTTCGGAATTCATTCTGATGGGGTGTATAGCACAAGAAGATGATGGAGACATACCCTGAGAAGAAACATAAACTCATTAAAATTGTGAGAACAAATATTCCCAGCATTATCAAATACGTAATGTTTTATGAAAAACCAAATTGAGTTCGAATTTCAGTCACAGAAATTTTTGAAAAGATAAAGAGAATAGTTTCAGAACGACTTTTTCATTAAAACATCCATGTACAGACGAGAAATATGTCATCAATGAAAGGTTAACAAAATAATTAAATCCCAGAATTGTACTAACACGATAGGACCCAAATGTCTGAATGAACAATCAAACATAGCCAAAGCTTTTTATTGACAATCTTAGGAAATGAAACAATCGAGCTTTGTTTTCCAAGTTGACAAGAATTCACATTCAAAACACTTATGAGATAAAGCTAGGAACTAATGTTTAAGTTTAGAAAAACTGGGATGACCAAAAACGATTGTGTAGAAGCCTCAAGCGGAAGCAGTGAAGCTAATGTAATAGTGGCTTTCAGAGGGGAATACTGTATAACCAAGCATGTGACTTATATCCTATTCCAATCGTCTTCCCGTAGCCGACCTGCACAACACCATAGTTAGCTATGAAAATGACAATGCAATCAAGCTGTTCGGTGATTTTGCTAACAGAAATTAAATTATAAGGACAGCCATGGGTGTATAAGACAGATTGTAAAGTTATTGATGGAATAAGTTGAACGATCCCAATGCCTTTAACTGTAGTTTTTGAACCATTAGCTAAGGTGACTGTGGATGAGTCTAGAGTAGGAATGAGAATAGAGAACAATGTTTCATTACCAGAATTCATTACCAGAAATGTGATCGGAAGCGCCAGAATCAAGTATCCAAGGAGTACCAGTTGAGGACTGAGACAAACAAGCAATTGAAGTGCTAGAGTGCTGTAGACTAGATGACTATTGTTGAGCTTGTTGTTTGGCTGCTTGGAATTGGGCATATTCTTCATATTCTGATCCTGTCAGAGTGATGCATTTGCTTGATGTACCAGGCAAAGGAAGAATTCCAGCTCCATTACTCTAAACCATATAAGTTGCAGGTCGTCTAGTACCAACAGATTGATTCTGAGACGGTTTACCATGTAATTTCCAACAGGTTTCACGAGTATGTCCTGGTTTCTCACAATAAGTGCAGTGAACCTTATACCTATTACCTTTCCATTTTTTATTACTATTCTGGATGGATGGCAAACAGCCAGAAGCTTCACTGTTAGGAGGTACAGATGGAGTGGGTGGAAATACGAGAAGTCGAGCAGAGATATTTTCTAAGGTAGGAACAAAGGACCAGTTCAAATTCTGATCTCGAACAGAGCTAAGTGCGTCGAAGGCCGATTAGAGCCAAGACATAAAAAACTTGTCTCTTTGTTTTTTCTTGTTCAGCAACTATTCTTCTGTGGGCATAAATGGAAACGAAACTCATCTTTTCAATGGTCTCAACTTGCCCCAATGTAACTAGCCATATCCATTTGATTTTGCTTGCAAAATGGACGACAATATTAGAGACAAACATATAAATTCGTTGTATATATGGTATAACAATGTTTTGGCTTTCTGTCATACCTTACACACAAGGTTTTAAACAGGACTGCAAAGGAAGTAATTTGGGATCAAGAGTATGCCATAATAGGCTACACAACTGAGCATCAATTCGAATCCATGCTGTCCTATCGGTTGCAACGATATCAGTAGCATTCTTAATAGGATGATCATCATATACTTGGTAAGAACCATAGCTCAATAGAATTGAACCAAGAAATGTAATTGCTACTGCCTTGAAGTTTTACAGTAGTAATACCAGTAGAATTAGGAAGAAGAGACTTGATTATACCTGATTCAGCCATATTCAGTAGCAGAACAGTGAAGAGGAAGGTTGTCGGAGAAGGGCAGGCCTGGGATAGTGGCTATGACTATAGAAGAGAGAATGTATTCAGGCCCTTTGCAGAGAGCACAGAAGCAGAAAGTGCAGGAAATGCAGAAAATATAGAAGCAGAAAGTGCAGGGGCAGAAAGTGCAGAGAAATGCAGAAAATACAGAGGTAGAAAGTGAAGAAGCAGAAATCAGCCCTTCCAGCCCTTCTTTGGCTCTGATACCATATGAAGAAGAAGAATGAGAGGAAATATTGTGAAGAAGAAGAAGAATGAGAGGAAAATTTAACTCTATTATTCCCTCAAGGATTGGGGATATAAATAGTACTACATATGTACAATTAATGACAGCTAATTACAGCTAACAATAGCTAATCATAACACAGCTATAACAGCTAATCATAACACAGCTACAACAGCTAATCATAACACAACTAAGTATAACTAATGACAGCTAACAACAGCTAATCATAATAATCATAACAAAAAGAAAAATTAGAAATCGACGAATTGAATTTACTCACCTTTTCAGGCAAACTTGAGTTGTTAATTGTCGGTAACTTTAAGGGTTTCGACATATTACCAACAAAAAACCCTATAATTTAGCCTTCGGAGGATGACTACAGCAACAAGAATCTCTCAAGTCGATTAGGCATGAGAAGAATTAATATGTCAAATGAAACGGCAAAGCTAGTATTCGACTAGGAGTCAAACTTTGATTAGGCTCTGTATGGTCCAAAATTTGAAGATTATGTTTGTAACATTCAGCTTTTTAGCGTGTTTTGAAATACTGATCAAACAGTTAACAATTAAATACTACTAAAATATATCAAAACAATTAATTCATCTAACATATTCCATGCAGGCCTGACATTCTTTTTTTAATAAGGAAGTAAGGGTTAATTTTGGGCTAAAACTAGGGGTGTATATGAGCCGAGTCTACTCCTGAGCTTTTCGAGCTCGGCTTGAAAAAAATTCGAAAAGGTTCGGCTCGAATCGAGCTCCAGCTCGAGCTTGAGCCTAATGAGGTTCAGCTCGAAAGCTCGCCGAGCCTTCTCGAATTTTTATACATACATATATATAATATTATTTTAGGTTACTCAAGCCTCAAACATCGAAATCAAGCTCGAGCTTAAAATTTTTCAAATGGAACTCGAGTCTGAAGTCGAGTTGGAACCGAGCTCGAGTCGAACTCAAGTCAAGCTTGAGTCAAACTCGAGCCTAAATATTTAGGATCATTGAGTTTCAAGCCGAGCTAAGTTCTATTGATTTACATGTTAGCTAAAACTATTGAATTGTAAATTTAGGGGCTCATAATTAAATTAGGATAATGAATTTGGATGTTGGGAAATAAATTTTGGATTAATAAATTAATTAAGATAGCAAAAAGATATTAATTACAAATAAGCACAATTTTTTTTTTTTTTGAAAACTACAAATAAGCACAAAGTTAATAATTAATAGTTAATACTTAACGGAGATACTAAGAGATAAGCGCAAAGTTAGAAAAAAAAAAAAATACTACATTTTTTATATTCTGAAGTGATAGATAAGTAAATGTTACTATTTTTAATGGAACATAGGGAGCAAGTCCTAACAAAGTTAGTTTGCTTCCTTACTAACATTAAATTTATTTCTAGATAATTTCAAATATCTTATGTAAAAATTGTGCATTCAGAAATTTTTCTAAGCATAAATAAAATCATTGAAATTAATTGAAACTTCCATCAACAAATGGGGACTCAAAAATTGTGAATTTAAAAATTGTTTTGGATCACAATCTACCTAAAATTTTCTTCAAAAGGGGTTCACACTTATAATTTTCATAGTGATCGAGATAATTATATTACCATTGAACCAAATTTCATTTGGCCTAGTTCTTTAATAATACTTCGAAAATTCTTTCAGGATTCATATGTTAATAATTGCTAAAAAATGGCAAAAAGAAAAAAATAAGTGGATTAAAAACTAACGAGAAACATATGCTTAAAATATTCGAAAATAATCTTTTTTATGGCTATCAAATCTCCACATTTCATTATGATTTGCCTTTATAATGGAAAGAGAGGAGTATAAACAGGGACGAAGCTGGGATTTATGAAGGAGGCAAACTAAATAAAAACTTAATAAGAGAATATTAAATAAATAAAAAAAAAGAGAGGGGCAAAATATTTCCACAAATTCCATTAGAATTTTACGTAGAGTTTTATGGAATTAATCAGACTTTTTTTTATAGATTTTGATTGCTTTGATGAAATTACAATGATTTTTATATATATCCAATCAAAATTAATTTTAGGACCTAATTGAACAAATTAAAAGGTTTTGCAGTCCAATTGAAAATTTGAAAAATAATGAGGAACCAAAAAGCAAAATGCATCATCTTCTTCAAAATCGTTTTGTTCTTTCATTAAAGCCTTATCATTGGCGACAGTGAAAGACTTGCAATAGCCAGTGTTGTCGCGGCCATCCTATGCTCCCAGAACAGTCGCAATATGGTCGGAAGACCACAGACTTGTCGTCTTTTGACTGAACAACTACCGTCTCGTTAGAAAATCACAAGTTTATATACTGAACATACGTCTCGTTAGAAAATTCCAATTTATATACTATATATATATATATATATATATATATTTATTATATATATATATATATATACCAACTAAAACTCAGACTAAAGACTAATGACAACCAAAAAACCAACAAAACCAAAGACAAGACTTTATATTAATGACAAAGACTAGACTAAAAGACTTAAACACTAGACTAATGCTTTTTTAATTTTTTTATCGTATATAAACTTTAAGGAATAAAGACTTTAATATATATGTAGAGAGCTAAGATTATTACTAGGATTTAAATAAATACAGATACAAATATTTAAAGATAAATTATAACTGTGAACTAAAATACTATGATATATATATATATATATTAATTTAAAATCGAAAACCAACAACAACTGCTAAACAACTGCTAGTCAGGACCTGCGCCGACTGCCGGAGCTTGTGCAAGGAGGCAGCGCACATCAAGACAGGCCTGATGCACGGCCCGCCGACTGTGGCTAAAGAAGCATAGCGATCCGGCTACAACAAGGGCAAATTGTATTTTTCAGTTCTTCGACTATTGCAAAGCTTTTTCAATTTTTTTATTTGATTATAATCAATTATTTATTTGAAATCAACCCATAAAAATTTTAATAAAAATAATCAAATTAATTCTCGAAAAATTTGTGGCAGCATTATATTAATTTTGTCAATTATTAATTCATAATATTAATTTTTGTCAAAATATCAAATTATCAGCACATGAATTAATTCGAAACTAATCCAATAATTAATACATTATTTTACACATTAGGGTAGGGATGAAAGTGGTACATGTATTTTAGGATACTCATTTTGGTCAGATCCATTTAAAGAGGATATGAGTAGTTATAAATAAGTTTAAAACGGATATGAAAGGTGAAATTACTACTCGTAACGGATATGAGTAGTGAAATTACTACCCATAATGGATACGGGTAGGGTATGTGTGATTTTTGGATACCCGCTACCTATTAACCACTATATTAAACAAGTTCGTTAGTAGGTATCCGGTCCATTATTAGTAAAAATGTATTTTGAATAAGTCGAATTTGGATAGTTCAAGATTAACAGGTACCCGTTTTAGAGGTACTTTAAACGGGTTTTGGATAGAGACGGGTAGTAAAAATTTAAACAGGATTTGAATATGGGTACTTAAATGAGTATTTAAATGAGTTTAGAATAGATACGAGTAGTAAAATTTTAAACGGATACCTATACACGTAGTTTAAAATTTGCGGGAACTTGCTCCGCTTCAATCAAGGGATGCATTGGATCAAAACTCTGTTGGATTTTAAAAGATTTTTGAAATCTTTGGGTTGGAGGATTGATTTGTGAATGACTTTTCTATTTATATCTAGCACTTTAAAATCCAATAAAATCAGCAATTTTATAAAATCCTTTCAAATCAGCAATTTTTTGAATATAATCAAATTTGTATGACTTTTAAAAAGTCATAATTGAATACCAACACATTTTTATGGATGTTATAATAGTCTAAATTCCATACCACAAAATTTTAATAGATTCCAAAATAATCTAAATTGAATACCATTGGAATTTTAAAATCTAAAAGATTCTTAATCAAATACAACTTCTTAGTATCGAAGTGTTGATTATCATAAGTTATCTCAATATGATTAACATTACCATTGGAATAACGGGCGAGAGATATCCGGCAATATCCCCTAGTATCTTTCTGTTATTTGTCCAAGATTTTCCGGTGATCTGGTGTCTATCAAACTACTTTCGCCATTCAATTGACGTATTATCAGGTTTTCCCAATTAGGGCTAATTTGCTAATTCTTCTGATATCTGATGCTTGAGAAGAAGCCGTTCTCATTGCTTAGTCATCCTATCCGAAGGCTGAATGTTTCGAAACCCTGAGGGTTACAGAAAAACAACTTCAAGTTTGCCTGACAGGGTTGAATAACAATCAAATTCGTCGATCCCCTTAATTTTTAGTTTGTTTAAACTATTATTTTATGCGGGAGAGTCTACAATAAACTTCTTTGAAACTTGTTTGTTTAATATTGTGTTAGGATATCAATGACCACACAAGGGAAGTCATTAGTCAGCTCCCAGATGAAGTTCTCTCTTTCATCTTGTCGAAATACATTGAAGAATCTGTTGGGAACCAGTATATTATCACATAGTGGAGCATGGGTCTTCTGGCTCCCATCCATTCTAGTATTGATGGTTAAACCATGTTTTGCGATGGCTCAAAACCATTCCAAACCGGCATTCTGCAGAATGAAATAGAGGAAGAAAAAATTATTAAGAGGGAAGTTAAATCAGACCCTAGACTTTATAAGGATATAATGACATTACACTACTATTTTTTAAGTATCCTCTTTTGTATTTGGGACCATGTTTCAATTTCTGATATTGATTAGATGAGGTTAGTTTGCGGATCCAGAATGGGGCTTTGTTCAAATCTGTCTCTTGAACTGTTACTGCAAAGCATCCTGGTTTATGTACTATGACATGCTTGGACAGGGAAACAGAAAGAAAATACTTTTACAAACGCAATCTTCTGAAGGTGCCAAAAGCCAATTTAAAGGCATCTGATCTGGTTGCTTGTTCCGCCTGGAAGAAAGAATTTCCACCACCAATTCTCAGTCTTCTTACAGAAGGAAGAGAGAGAGACCCAAAAAAAAAAAAAAAAAAAAAGTTATTTTACTTTTGTAACAGCAGTAGTTTTTTCTTTAATTAATATTTTTTCACTAATTAATTTTTTTCTTTGTAAAATCGGAAATAAAATATTTCTTGATAAGAAAAACAACCTTAAATTATTTCAATTTCACTGCTACACTAAGACGTCTCATTTCAATAGAATTATATATATATAAAATAAAAAAAAAATCATGGATTTGAAAAATAATGCAAACGGGAAAGCTTTAAATAAGAATAAGAGATCAACAGAGAATGTATAGTTTGATCCATACCTTGCCGTGCTCTGGCTCGGAGGGGTCAAGATAAACGGAGGTTCTAATATTACCGGTGAACTTAAGACTCGGCATGAAATCGCCGACCAGCACATTTTTCTTCTCCACAACCTCCATATCAAAAAGATGAGAAAAAGACTTGCAATCGAGAACCGCCACAACGTTCGGATTCACATCGGTGAAGAAAGGAAATGTTGGCGGCACATTTGTACGGAAAACCGTCGACTTGTACTTTTCAATCCGTTTTTTGAAGAAAGTTTCCGGTCCCTGAAACCAGGAGTAGTCTAGCCGGTCTGAGATTGGTCCGAGCAATGGCCAACCGTAGGAGCCAGGAATTTTACGGAGAGGGAGCGAAGGAGACGGCGAAGATTGAGTGGAGATTGTTTGTGGCGGTGAAAAGGAAGAGGAGGAGGAGGGGAAGGAGGGGGACGTTCCTGGAGGGACGTTCATCATTTTGGTCATAACGGTGGCCATGGTGACTGTGGTAGAGTAACTGGATCTTTATGAATATATATGTGATTTTTGTTTAAAAAAAAAAGAATTTGTAAGTGTTTTATGAGTGCAATAATGCAATAATAAAGATGGGTAGCACGAAGTTGGATTGGAGTGATAATATTTTAATAAATAAAAAAAAGTGTGGTATGGACCACATAAAATCGGGAAGAGACACTCATATGGAACAAAACAAGTTCCAAATCATTTCATTTCTTAACACTTGTGTATAAGAGAATGGTGAAAGTTTATTTAATAGATAACTTTGTACTTAGTTTTGCAATTAACTTTTCATTTTCTAATTACAGGTTTGCGACTTCTTTTTTGTTTACTGTTATTTTTCTTAAGTTCTTGAATTTCTCTCTTTAATTAATTCATTTCATTTTCATATAAAATTTTTACTTGGCTATTAATTAATTTATTAATAATTATTTAGCAAATTTCATTAAATCTTTCTAATAACTCATGTCAATATCAATCTCATTCGAATTAATTAGTTGCTTGATTAATTCTTTTTTTAAAGATATTTAACACAATTATGAAAAATAAGCTTCTAATTATTTATTATATTTTTATTCAATGTAGGAATGTTATTTGATTAGTAAAAAGTAAATATAAATGTATAAGATTAATTCGTCTGCTTAATTCTTTTTTTTTTTAAGAATTTTTATTCAATTATAAAACAAGCTTGATAAATTATATTAAGAAAGATATTTTTTATAAAATTGATAATAATATGGTATGAAGACAAGTAGAGAATAACTATAATTTTATTTTATTTTATAATTTTTATTAATATAAATTATATTATATTTCATATTAATTAGCTAATTTATTAGAATTTGCTTCTGCACCGTAAGTCATTTTAATTCTTATGGAAAAATATCAAAAGTTTCCGCCTTTGATTGTAAATTTTGGCTTTATCCCTAAAGGTAAAGACAAAGATCCGGTATTTCAGATATCATTTTCATCTATTCATATTTAGTTAACCTTTAAATAAATTGTGTGTTCTAATTTTAACTATAATTTTAATAAGTGTCCGGAATTCTCACATTATAATTATATTAAAGAATCAAAGGTTAAATTGATCTCAAATATTAAATATAATATTTTAATCATTTTAAATAGACATAATGATATATTTAGTTTTTAAATTTTGTATATTTTTCTATTTCGGTGTAATAAAATTATGACACGACTGTTAAATTTTTTAAATTTGCAATTGAGTTTTAAAGGCTGATTCGCTCGACCTGATTTTTGACAGTGATGAAGTGGGGTCCAAAATTGCATCGCTGGCAACCGATATGGACTAAAATGCTACCACATCAGTGGGACACGAAGTCCACATAGATATGCTGAAAATCCCAATTTTGCCCTTCAATAAATGTTGCAGATGAATCAATACAATCCTAATTCATCTCCTTCCTCTCGCTCGCGCCCTAAATCTCGTCTTTCTACCTACCTTCCACTAACACTTCAACTGCCTCTCTACTACTAGATTATTTAATAATCTATATGTGGATCATATAATTAAATGGATAGTTCGAATTAAGATGGTCTAAGATAATGGTTATTGAGCCTAATGGGTAAGGACCAATTAGGATTTTAATACTGTTCCTCTGCCTTATAAGACATTAAGGAAATCAACAGCGTAGGTTAAGAGAGGGTGATGGCTACCTCAAACACATACAGTGATAGGTTGTTTGAGAGAGTGTGAAAGAAAACTCTATGAAAAGAAACTCCCGTAGCTGTTGATAATTCTCTGACCATTAAGACAAAACTTACGGACAAAAGGCCAGAGCAAAGAAATATAGATCTGCTATTACGGTAAGAACCGAATTGCCGCAACGAGGTAATCCATAACATAGATCTGCTGTTGTGGATCAAGGTACACTTCCGATTATTGTATATTCCTGTCAAACAAATTCTATGAACAATAGATCTAGACTATATTAAAGTAATTTAATTCAAGTAAAATAAATATTATTTATGATTTTCTAAATCTAATAAACTAATGAAATTTGTAAAACTAACCATTGCAATATCTTTATAATTTTATATATGTATTTTTCTTTATTTATTTGTAGTTAATGAATTTTTTTTTTCTTTAGGACTCCCATTAACTAAAATAGAAAGTCTAGAGCTTGATAAACATTCTGCTATCCACCCCTTAAATCTTGCCCGAAAGTACAGAGTCATATCATAAGCCTTTTCAGATCTGCTTTAAAGATTAAACCCCTAGCCTTTTTGAGTTCTAGCTCATGCACAACCTTGTTACAAATCAAAATCCAATCCGTGGTTTTTCGTCCCTACAATTTTTTTTTTAAGGCAATTTAATTATTTTATTAATTTTTATAAATCTAAAAAAAAAAAAAATTAACATTTTTAGGTGTGTCTGATTTTCTCCGACGGCGGACTTCATGGCTCTTCTAAGTCTCAAAGCAAGCAGTTTAGAAATCACCTTGTAAACGCTGCCAATCAGATAAATGGGTCTATAGTCAGTGAGGCGTTGGGGGGAATTCTTCTTAGGAACTAGAGTAATGAAGCTTGAATTGATCCCTTTGGAAAACCATAAGTGGTGTAATTCTTTAACATGTTGAATAAGATCATGATTTATGATAAGAGAAATAACATATTCTGTGTGTTGAAAACTTAGTTTCCATCAAAATTAATATTCCTAGTTTATGTTGATAGCGATAGTTTTTAAAAATACACAAATTTCACTAATAAGATATTGATTAGGGTAGTAACCGATCTCAATTCATAAGAATAGAAGTTCGATCTTGGAAAACGCGTCTTATTCTCCAACTGCATATCCCGAGCACCCATTGAAGTTTAAAATTACAATTTGTAGATGATTATTTGTATTTATTTGTAAAATTGATGGACTTATTTCTCAAATAGATATTTTAAAATTATTAATTTATTAATATTTTCTCAAATTCCCATTATTTTTTGGGGAAAAAATACCTATAATATCGAAATTGAATTTGCATTAATTTTTTCTAAAAAAGAACACATGTAACAATGTAACCATCTTAGAAATATTATCAAAAACACATTGAAATTAAAGATTTATTGACAAAATTAAATGTTTTGCTAGTTGTTAGCTGTTTGAATAATATTTAGCTATTTGAATAACTAGTAGCTGTGTTTTAGTGGCTTTTCATAACATTCTAAAAGTTAAACCTCATAAAGGTTAATCTTTTTATAAAATGTTATGATAACATTTAAGTTACCAAATATTATAAAAAATAACATTCAGTTAAAACGTTAAAAATTATTTAAAAGTTATTACCCAACTGTGTAAATCTAGTCTAAAATTAGTGGTACAGGTTGGGTTCAAGTTCACCAAACCGATTGTGCCTACAGCTTGTTAATATTTAAAGAACCAAATCAAAACTTCAAATCGCATGGATAGTGACAGAAGCTTGATTTTGGAGAGGAGAAAATTTTAGGTGGATTGTGACCAGACAATCTTGACTGCACAATTTCTAAACCCCTTATTTGTTCCTTATTATGCCCAAGACAATTTCTAAATGCATAATATTTGAATATAAGATAATTTGTTTCAAATATCTAATTTATTCTTATTTCTGTATTTATTATTTCTTTACTATTTTAATTAATTTAAAAAAGAAAGGCAAGTCCGAAAGAGAGTACCTACGGTTGGCAGTAGTCGGATACACACTTAAAATCTGAATCCAATTATAAACTAGATACCCAAATTCCTTCCGAATCCGTTTAGAAATTCGTTTCTATTCGCCCAACCCGTTAACAATTATGCATTTAAGGTTTAAAATATTTTTATATTTTAATTTTTAAAAATAAAAAATAAGAACAGTTATAAATTTCTACTATATTATATATCTATATCTATATTTATATAATCGTATAAATGCCAAATTAAGTTTGCTTATGAGGTATAATATTGTGAAACTTAGTTGCGACGTGAAATTTTATTATTTTTTGATACTTTTATTTAATTGCCTAATACGAAGAAATTAAATTTTAAAAATTTTTATTTTCTTTTTTTCAATAATTAACAACCATATAATAAATTTAGTTCATTAAAAAAATCTCTTTGGTTTGTTTCTAATTTTCCAATAATTAACAATCCAAATAATGAATTTATAGCATTAATAATTAAATACTAGTAATTAGTTTTTGCAATAATAAACAACCACACTATCATTTTTTTATTTTTAATTTAATTATCCTTTTTTTTCCAAAATTTTAATCCCTTTTTGAGTATTACATTAACTAAATTTGGCATATAAATTCTTATTTTCTTTTTTATGTTCAACTTTTTTTTGGATAGTGATAAAAACATAATACTTTGAGCAAAAGACATCTAATGATTAATATTCAGAAATTTTCTTTCTTTTTTCGTCATTCAAGTAATTTTACGATTTGAATGCAACAGATTGGTTTAATTTAGAAAAATATTATTTATGTTTATTGTTTTTAATTTAGCTAAGAATTTTAATTTGCTAGGGTAGAGTAGGAATGTCAATTTTGCCCGACCCGGCAAATATCTGAATTAATTTGATCCAATTTTGATAGTTTAGATAGTGAATAGACGAGTTTAGGATAAAAGTTCAGGTCGAGTTTGGGTTCAAGGATGTACCCGCTACCCATTACTAAGAATGGAAGCGGCGCGGGCACCTACTAAATTTAAACTACACGTACTCGCATCCGTTTAAAATTTTATTATCCGTATCCATTTCAAACTCATTTAAATACTCATTTAAGTATCCATATCTAAACCCGTTTAAATTTTTACTACCCTTTTCTCCGTCCAAAATATATTTAAAGTACCCTTACATGGGTAGAGTACTCGCGAATTCCAAAATATATTTAAAGTACCCTTACATGGGTAGAGTACTCGCGAATGTTAATATCCAAATCCGAACCTATTTAAAATGCAATTTTTACTAATAATGAATACAATCTTGCGGGTACCCATTGTCAAACTCATTTAATATAGCGAGTAATAGGTATCTAAAGACCTACATATGTACCCTACTCGCATCCATTACGGGCAGTAGTTTTGTTACTCGTATCCATCGAAATTCATTTCTAACTACCCATATCTTTTTTAGATGGATCTGAGTGGACGAATACTCTAAATACCCCTACCAATTCCATCATACATGTTACCCATTTAATTAATATTCCAAAAATATTTAAAATAATTATTTTTTAAAAGAAAATTATATATATATATACCTTTTTAATTATAAAGCCTATATATTTAAATATTTATATTTATATCTTTTATTAATTAAAATAATAATTTTATTTAATTTTTATTTTATAATTTTTATTCACTTTTTATTTTTATTTTATAATTTTTATTCACTTTTTATTTTTAAAAATAAAAATAATATTTTTAATGCTAAATGGATAATTATAATCAGGGTTTGGGATAAGTTGTAGTGCTAAAGGTGGACTTTTAAAATAGTGTAAAATGGGTTGAAATAACTAATTTACACAATTAGGTTCGAGCGAGTAGTACGTTCTAAACGGTATCCAACCTGTTGTCATCTCTAGAGTAGAGTGTTTTTTATCATTTTAAATTTATAAAAAAGTTAGAGCAAATAACCTTTTTTATAATAGTCAAAGACGAGAAAGAATTTTTTTTAAAAAAATAGTAAATGACACATTATTTTTTCATTATGTTAATTTATTTACATTTTTTTTATCAAACTTATTCATATAAATTATTTATATTTTTTAAAATTGTCTTATATTCATTTTTATCATCTTTATACAATTTTTAATTTATCAAAAAAATAACTTAATTAATAAGTAAAATGATGTAATTATTTACAGTCTACAGATAAAATATAATAAATAACCAATAAAATAAAATTTAAATTAACTTTAAATCTAAAAAAATATAACTCTTTCGTAGTAAATCGTTTATATGCATTAACTTGAATAAACAATATCATTATTAAATATAATTATAGTACCAATGATAATTAGAATGGTATATGTATAAATTATTTTAGAAAATAATTATTTTAAATATTAGAATATTTATTTAAACTCATAATGAATAAATGTTGTCTGAATTTTAAAACTTTATCCTAATTCGACATGAGTAATAAAAATACTATCCAAATTCATTTATTCAATATTCGAACCCTGATTGGATATCCAAATCGAATTAAACCAAATCGAATTGAGATCAGAAAATACAAATCGAAATTTTTATCAATAGAACTAACCGAACCGGTCAAGCCAATTGATTTTGATCGGTTTTAACATTTTGATTTGATTTTAAGCTCAAACGACAGATTTGAATGAATTTAAATCGAATAAAACATAAATTCAGTTCAAACTGAATAAATCGATAATCGAACATCTTTTTATTTAGCTGACCGAACTGAAATGAATCGGTTCATTTTTCAGTTCGTGCGGTAAGGTTCCACACCCCAAATTGCATCTCTAAAATTACCGAGCTGGGATAATCAATTATGTTTAAATTTTGTATCATACGACACCGAATGAGTTCATCAAATACGGTTTAGCAATTTCCATTGAGAACCTCTTGTAATTCTGCATTTTCTTGATGGAGTTGAGAGAAACATTTCATGCCATGCTCTAATTATATTGGGATTAGGTTTAGTTTTCTTCCTCAGAAGGCTTACCTGTAAGTAAAATGGAGAAACCCTGCAAATTACCAAAAATTGAAAACTCAACTTCGTCTGACAATGTGAGTACTCAATTCAATTCATCGATTCCTAATTTTTCTTTTCAACTGATTGTTATATGCGGAAGGTCTGCAATTACTTTCTTTGAACTTGTTCTTGTTTACTATTGGTGTAGGATATCAATTCGAAGACAAGAGATTTCATTAGCGAGCTTCCAGATGATGTTCTTTATTCCATCTTGTTGAAATTGCCGTTGAGGGAATCTGTTAGAACCAGGGTCCTATCACATAGATGGAAGCATGTCTATGCATTCCCATCCATTCTTGAACTTAATTGGTTAAACATGGGTCAAAACCATGACTTCTTGGAAGAAAATGAACATCCTTGCAGAAATTGTGAGGAAAAATTTGTAAGAGGAGTTAATCAGTACCTAGACTTTTATAAGGGTACATGCCTACGCTCTTTTAAGGCCTCCTTTTGTCTTGGGCATGGTCCCAAATCTGATATTGATAGATGGGTTAATTTTGCAATCAGAATGGGTGTTGAAACTCTGTCTCTTGATCTGTACTGTGAAGCGTCCAGTCGCAATCCTACTAGAGAAATGTTTGGAGAACAATTAGAAAGAAACTATGTTTTTCAAAGCAGTCTTCTTGAGGGTGCAAAACTCAATTTAAAGAATTTGCGCCTGGTTGCTTGTCGCCTGGGAAGAAATTTCACCAACCAATTTAGTTTCTTAGAGACCCTTACCTTGGCTTATTCACCTTTAGCGCGATATGACCTTCATACCTTATTTTCTTATATGGTCAACCTCAATCAATTGATCTTGCTTGCATGTAGCCTTCCTGTAAAGCTATCCCTCGGTTCATTACTACTTCTCAAGAAATTCTGTCTTACAGGTGGCGCTGGGACAAAGGAACTTGAGCTGTCTAATCCCAAGCTTTTACATTTCCAATGTATGACTCGTGAAGCGATTACAGTCAATTTAAGTGCAGTTCCTAACTTGATTACATTGAAGCATTCCGTGGATAGTACAGGAATCCGCTATGTTTTCACTCATGTTTCACAAAATCATCCTATGCTGAGGACCTTAACAGTTTATAGTAGATGTGATTGGGTATGTGAATAGGAATGGAACCATTAATGAGGGATTAGAGAGGGCATTTAGAAAGAACAAATTTTTAACATTAAATGGCTTGTTGATAATACTTGCTTTTTCTCTTTGCAGGCTTCAACAATATACCGGAAAAGCATTACCATCTTCGTAATTTCAACCTAGAGCTGGATCTCATTTGGCAATACAAGTTTTGCTGAAGATGTGATTTCCATTTCTTTAAGGCCCTTTCCTTGTTTGTTCATTTTAGCTTGGTGGTGAGTGATTCAACTATCTATTTTATATTGTCTAGTTTCCCCTATTGATGATGTTATTAGCATGGTTCTTTTTGTATTATTGTGCTTAGTGGAATTTAGGATCCAAGCTCTCTCTCATCTTCTATTTTTCTCTAAAATATATAGAGAGACTACCTTGAAATTTGTTACATAGTAAGGTGTGAAGGTGAGGAAAGCTATGGGTCTTAATGATAAAGAGAATATGGTAAAGAGTACTAAAGTTAAATAAGTGGTGTTGTACATATTAACATATTTATGGATAGACCTAAGAAAATACTATCTAATATATGCAATTCATCATATAAAACAATTGAAAAAAGTTTTATCTTTGCAAATAAATCATTCATGTACGAAATGCCTGAGGAATTTCGATGCAATTAATGCACATCGTTAAGAAAATGACATGTATGCACATCGTTAAGAAAATGACATGTATGTGCGTAAACACATGAGAGGTATGTTTGTATGCAAAATACTACAATACTTTGAGATCCTTCACATATGTTAAACTATGATAGATTGATAAGAATATTACTATTTTTTTTCCATTTTTTAGTATGATTTCTTGAACAATGCAAAGAGAAAAAAAAGAAAAAAAGAAAGAAGAGAGTTGGGAGATAAATTATAGGTGCCTTTGCCTTGACTACTTCAGTCAACTAGTCTGCACAAAGTACGATAAATCATGGATGTTAATATACATATATATGAAATGAGTAAATAAATTTAAGTTTCTTAAATATACTTAAAATTCATTAGTTTTAGTAGCTCATACCCTTGTTAAATTTACCGTTTGTATATATGAAATCAGTAAATAAATTTAAGTTTCTTAAATATACTTAAAATTCATTAGTTTTAGTAGCTCATACTGTTGCAAAATTTACCATTTGTTTGCAAATCGTATCTTACTGAATTTTAGTTCAACCAAAACCAATTCTAAATGAATATTTGTTTATAGAATAGCTTCTTAATCTTCATTTGCATATTTTATGGAATTATATATACATTTACTTGCATAGATTAATTTCTGAATTTGAGTTTTCATATGCACTCAATTAATGCATAGCTAGAGGAAAGCTCTCAGCTTCTGATAGAATGTTTTCAGGTTCATTTTGTTTGTAGCATCTCTTGAACACTTTTGTTATTCAATTTGGAACAAAATTAGTAGAAATGTGGAAAAAAAGACTCAAAAACACAGTGGTAAATACAAGGCCAAGATTTTTCTCAAAAAAAAAAAAAAAAAAAAAAAAAAAAAAAAAAAAAAAGGTAAAATAAAAAAAAAAAAAAAAAAAAAAAGGTAAAATACAAGGCGAAGATCACATTTCACCCTTAAACTGTAAATTTATGTGCATTATGCATTCTGACATCTTGGTATTAAAACATATTTAATTATGGTTTTATGAACATGTTTTTGGTATTTGATAATAATTATTTTAACCTCATTTTTTTATCATCGTAGACATGTTGTTCAAAAGACAAAGAAGGAAAGCTCCCGCCCAGTGAATACATTTATGAACATTTGAAGTATGTTAAGCTTGGTGGATTTTATGGAACCCCAAACCAAATTGAGTTTGCTAAATATTTGTTGAAGAATGGTTTAATCCTTGAGAGATTGGTCATCAAGCAAGAAGAAACTCTTGTCAGGAAAAGGCCATCATGGGATGAAGGAGAACGCCAAATGGTTATCGAGACGCTGCAAGAATTTTCCAAAGAAGTAATGCTAATTGTCACGTAAGCATTTAGTGACAATTCAATTGTTCTCTAGTGTTATGTGTAACCAAAGTTTCTTTGAAATATGTAAGAAAAATTTGTCACTCAAATTAGCTGAAGTCTAACAGAATATAATGTCAATGGTGGGAGAAAATCCAAATTGGATTCTGAAATTTATGCTTTTGTCAGCTGAGATCTCTAATTTTCATTTTAATAATTATCTCACCTTTCATTTTTTTGCCAATTAGAGAACAGGTTGAACAAACTATGTAGTTCTTCATGATATTTTTAATTCTTAATCATCTTCAAGATCCGTCACAGATTCTGTAATTTTATTGCTATTCCAGTTTTGGTTTTATAGGGGTTAAGTGGGTAGAATCTAATTTGATGGGCCTTAATCACCACCATTCCGAATTTGCTACTGTTCTTCATTCCAAGCCTCTGTTTCTCAGAAAATTTAAACCCGTGAAGTGAGCTCTATCCATATTGATCTTTTTGTTTTCAATTTCCTTCAATCTTTCTTTTGTTTGCTTGGTAGTTTTTACCGCTGTCGAGAGAATTCTTTCTTTCTTGTTAAACTTTTACCGCTATTTTTTTGGGTTTTCATTTTTTCATTTGATTTGAGATCCAAAAGTAATAACAAATTTTATTTTCAACTCCATTGAAGGGTTTTAGTTATTCCAGATTTTCTGGGTTCGTAGAGCTGAGTTTCTAAGTTTTGGAAATTTGAGTTTGTAGATTTGCCACGTTGGACACCTTTTCCTTCTCTCACTCTCTTCCCGGCGAGTGACCACACACTCTTCATTGCCAGCATTGAGAGGGGCAAAATGTTATGAAATTTTACAGTTCAAGGTCATGATGGGCGATTTATAAAATTTAAGGGCCACAAGGTTTTTTATTGCACGTACAGGGATAATAATATGCATTTGGCCTAAAATAAAATACTGAGATTTGTTTTAAATAATTTTTCTAACTGTATTAGGCAAAATTAACTATTTTACTCGTGTTTCATCAAATGTTGATTCGGATTTTGAATCTGATGTTTATTTGGAAATAATGTTTGGAGTAAAATAAAATATTAAATTTTTTTAAAATAATTTTTTTAGGCTATATTCGATAAAATTAATTGTTTTATTAGTATTTGATCAAATATTGAAAGAAATAACATTTTATAATTTATTTTCTCGGACATTAAATAATAGTGTAAATGTTATGTCATCTAATATTATGAATAATATAAGTAAACGTAATGTTAGAAGTTTCATTCTCTCAGACTTCAAATGATAGTATAAATATTACGTCATCTAACACCGTGAATAATATAAGTAAACGTAATGTTAAAAGTTTCATTCTCTCAAAATTTAAATAATAGTATAAATATTACGTCATCTAACACCGTGAATAATATAAGTAAACTATATATATATATATATATTATATATATATATATATATATATTAGAAAATCTTAAATTTTTTTCCTTATTTTTTTTATTTTGATATGTCAACTTAATTGATTTTTTTAATTTAATATTTAATATATAATATGGATAATTGATAACTTTTTTAAAATCTAATCTAATGTAACGATTTAACCTAATCCAACAAAAACTTTAACTTTAAATTTTTGAATTGTTTTGAGTTTAAAAAAAATTGAGTTGTTTTAAATTTTGAGCAAAAGATACCTAATGGTTAACTATTCAGGAAGTTCTTTTCTTTTTTTCATTTTGATAATTTTTATGATCTGAATACAATAGATTGGTTGAATTTGTAAAAATAGTGTTTATGTTTATTGCTTTTAATTTATTTAAGAGGAAAAATTATTATTTAGTCCCTCAGGTTTTACATAATTATCTAACTAATCTCAAGTTTTGCGCAAATATCTAACTAGTCTCTCAGGTTTAATTCCATCTAATTAAAAGGTCCTTCCGTCCGAAAAGTTGATTTTTTTACGTTAAAATCAGTACAAAACAAAGGCAGACATTTTATAATGGCGAAGAATGCCCTTACTGAACTGTGCATGTCAACAAGGTTTGACGAAATTTATTCTCACAAAAACACAGAGAAAGGAAGAAAGAAAGGGAAAAAACAAAAGCTCATCTCCATGTTCGTTTGCAAAGGTAACAATCGACAGGCTACACTGTCTTCTTCAAGTGCAATCCGCATTGGAGCATGGGAAGGAAGGTATAGGTGAATCACTGTATTGCAAGTGTGGGAAAAAAAGCAGGCATTAGGATCTCAGAGACCACTAAAAAAAAACAGAAAATCGACTGTTAATTATTATGTATTGAAAAAAATGCAATGCGGATCCTTTTTCTTTGGGTTTGGTGTAATCTATCAAGATTCATCAGATCGAATTCTCAGGAAGCAAAATTAGAAGTGAGGCAAAAAAGAAGTGTAGCTTTACTGACTTGTTTTTGGAATTTTTTTAAGGAAGAAGATGTTTTTGTTACATGAAAGAGGGGAGGATGATTGAAAATAATTGTTTTTTTACAGTTTGGAGATTTGTTGAGCCATTTGGAGAAAAAAAAGGGAGTGCTGGAGTCAGAAGATTGGCAGCTTGAAGAAGGTTGATTTTTTCATATGCTTGATTGGCTATGCATTGATGCTTTTCACCTTACTTGTAATGGTTGCTGTTATCTCTCTCTTT